TTTTTCTTTTTTTCTTTTTTCCCTTTTTTTTGCTTTTTCCCCCCCCTTTTTTTTCCTGAAACTGAAGGGATTTGTATTGGTTATCGAGAACGTAACTATTTCCACCTTTGCAAAAATATCTCCACCTCTGCAGTTAAAACTTTGTCACTCAAATTTCCACATAAGCCTTTCCACAAAGCACGTGTCTCAGGTTAGTTTATGACTCAATAAAACGAGTTCCCTAGCTCAACCTGAGGACAGGCAGAGGGATCGTGTGATTTCCTCTCCCTCTCTATGTGTATGTATACATACCTATATATTACACACACACACATATATATGATAATCAAAACTGCCAGTACATAATGGTATGCTATACCAGCATTTTGCACAGACAGGGAAAGGCCGACATAGCAGCAAAGTGCTATGTCTTTCCCAAAATGCTTTGTCTCTACCAAAAATACCATTATTTATGCTCTGTTTTTTCTACTACACGCACAAGAACACATGTATGCGTGTGTCTGGGTATCTGCATCCAAGATCTAATTACTACCAGTCAGAAACACCATGAATGATGAAGAAACAACAACAAAACTCTTTGAAGAAGACACTAAAAAATTTTTTTTGCTCACTGTTAAAATAGTTGGTGTCACAAATGCCCAACAGACTCTCCAGAATTTACTTGGCTGGAATCCAATCATCATTTCTATATCTTCACAAAATCTTTGCAATCCTGTAAATAGCAAACGTACATGCAATTAGGTGTGAAAGAAACCAGCTGCAATTTGCTACATAGCTCTTGTTATCTCCCTTGTGTCTAATTACAAAAAAACCTCTGACTTGTTGGTTGAAAACTTCAACGGAGGCTCTAACCACAGAGTAAAAAATGAGACTATTACGGTGGAAACCATTCTAATCAAATATTTACTTCATAAGGATTAAAGTAAAATTGAGCTTTTTACATAGAGATTAAGCGTTCAGTGTGTTTCGGGTTAAAGCACTAACAGTATGTACTGGTTAGCTGCAATTATGTGGATGCTTGTTATATTTCCCTGTGAAGATGAACCTTATTAATACCTGTATAGCTGTCTCAGCACAGACAATATCTGAGCTTCTCTATTCCTGCTACGTGACCAGGGTGCAAACTGTATCGCTTCGCACTGAAACCGGTAACGTCCTGGTATTTTTCAACTGATGTGTAAGCAATACTTAGAATTATTAGAGAGCACCTGTAAATATTTTAAGTTATATTCGATGTTGTTTGAACAAACAGATCGACTGACATGTTAATTCTTCAGATTGTTGTATTGATCCCAACAATAAAGTTACTTGAGTTAATAAAAAAGGCAAGATTGGAAAATGGGATATCAGCCATCTCCGCAGCTATCTCCCTGGCCATGCCGCGGGAAAGGGCTGCTGGCCCAGCAGCTATTATTGCCCTGCAACAGTAATTAAAACAAAATTGAAATTTGTTCCAGCTTTTCTAATGACACTAAGAGGAGGGAGGTCTGGGGTCCAAGGCTGAGCTCACCCATCACACAAACCTTTCAAATTTGGGCCAATTTTATCTAATAAAGCAGGTGATCGTCTCTGTCATTTAAATTTTACGAAGCATTATTCTGGAGCTTTTAGCCTAACTTTTCTGATGTGGGGACAGGGAAGAAGCTTAAATATTGGAGAGAAGTCACCGAGTAAGGAAGAAATACTCAGAGCAAAAGTAATAAACTGCTTTATGTTCTCATTGTCCTTATAGCCAGCCACTGCAGCTGCTGAATAGAAGAGGGGATAATCCCCAGGCTTGATCCACCTAATTTTGAAGCCTTCCTGTCGATATAAAAGAGAAATAAATCTATCCACCTGACTGTTCCAAGATTTAAGAAGGTAAAAAATAGCAACGGTTCATTATTCAGTGTCTTCTGATGCACCTCGGAGAAAGCAGCAGGGCTAGATGGTGCTGGGCAGCCCTAAAGGGGCTCAGAGGGTGAGCACAAAGTAAGCCAGTTCAGGCAGATAGCATGTCAGAGAAAAGCTAAAAAACTGTGTTATGAGAAGAAATAGAGAAGAAAAATCCAGAAATTAAAGAAGATGGTATTGCAAAAACTGTATTTAAGGGAGGGGAAAATTACAACCTGCAGCGGATGTAAGCTTAGAAAGCTAACCCAAGGTGACCCAGATGTCATTTTTTTTCTGTAACTGTAATTTCTCTCCCTCTTTTTCTCTTTTTCACTGACTACAGCAAACGGTCTTCTTCAGAAAACCTCTTCTATTTTCTGTAAAATACACGTAATTTTTACGACCCATGGAATCCCCGTACTTCAGCACCTGTCTGACTCATCGTGTGCTGCTCCATGTTGTAATAGAGCTTTGTACGCCTGGACCGAGCCTAACCCCCAGCGCCACTGTGTTATGGACCCGAAAGCAGATCTGTGCTACGACCGAGTGATTTGCCCCCGTGTTTTATTTACACGCTTATTGCGGTTCAACGTACCATCTGCAGTGAGCTGCTCGGGAGCTGCTCACACAGCAGCCATCCCTGCAGCGCGCTGTGATGAGAACAAAACTAGTTTTAAACTAATTGCAGCAGCACAAAGTATGGGCCGAAGAGTCTTTGCACAAAGTTTAAAGCTCGTCCAAGTGTCTCTGCTTCAGCCATGCTTGCTGCTGCAAAGGAGGAATACCTAACTGGATGGTTACCAGGGGCTTCTGCCTCCAAATTTCATGCAAGCTTCATGCAAATCTGCACAGATTTGTTTGAAACTCCAACTAAAAAATTTAGTTCCTTCTAGGAACTGTCAGTAGATATTCCCAGCCTCAGGCACTTTTAAATATTAGCAGTTCAGGAGTCAAATGCATGTAAACAGATACAGGGATTAGACAGTACTCATCTCTTTCCCAGTGAAAGACTGACAATAGGTTCGTCAAGTTCCACAGACAAACGCAAAGGATGCTTTAGTTAACAGAATGCCAATTAAATCTCAGTATATCTGATCTCCCTCTCAGATCGCTCAGGCCGCCTGAATAACTTTGGGAAATAAACAGTACACGATATTCCATATCACAATTTCCACTCTCTAAAGTAGAACGATGTATTCATAAGTGCTGCAGATAGAAAATCCATTAAAAAGGAGAATACAAACTGAGATACACAACTACTTCAATATTCTGCTACAAGTAGAACATTCAGAATTACTAACACTTTCTACAAATACACTGCAGCAGTTACCACTTGCTCGGACAACGAATCTTCCCAACAACAGACTGTGGAAAAACAGAGCTAAAAGGAGTAGGAATAAAGTTAAAGGTCATACACTTCCAGTTTCCAACAGTCTTTCGCTCAAGCACAAGAATCTTTGCATTTAGCTTCATGTTACAAAATGCAACGGTGGGAATTTTGCTGATGATTAAATTAATACCTGCAGCTCTAAGCTATTCTTTACCAATCATGCATCATAATCTAAACAACTGGAGAATAAACATCTATACCAGCATGTGAAACAAAAAACATCATTTGACTGGATTAGGTAGCACTGACTCTACTGAAAAATAAATGATTGCAAGGAAATAACCAAGTGTGTCGCTTTTTAATTTAAAAATCTCAAGAAGCTCAGCAAGCAGAACATGTTACAAGAACTACAGACAGGTTTATCTCATCATAAAAGCACCTGCCACTGCTGTGCCAACCTGCTCGCTATGAAGAGGACATGTACACAGAGAAAGGTGTCAGTGGAGCATAAAACAGCAATTGTCAGAGCTTAAAAATATATTATGCCAATTTTAAGCACTGCTTGAAGGAGTATAACAAGAGCAGCAGCTTCACTTGTATTTACAATGTGCAAATCACGAATATACAAGCTGTATTCCTATGAACAGTCCTTAGAAAAGTAGTTTTAATGCAGTGGAAGTAGCTATGATACATTAGTCAAGTGGATAACGATTGTAAAATAAATCTTTCCTTTTTCACGTAAAGGACTGGCAGTTCTTCAGTCTAGCAAAAGGTTAATTCCAGGGAATGAACTTGAAATAATTTATATCAAAGGCTTTACTAACATCTGTTGGTTAACAATCAGTTGGCACAGAAAACATGGAAAGAATGATTCATAACCAGCAGATCTTTTCTAAGTCTCATTACATTAAAGTAATATGTAACTAAAAAAAAAAAAAAAAAAAATTATCTTGTATTCAAGTCCTTCCTTTGCAGTGCTATAATATTTCTGCGTTATTTTATGTTTTTCATAAAACTCAGCCTTTTAAGGGATACCGAATTTGCTGGGCAAAGCAGGCACTAGCCAGAGCAATTTTGCTTACAAGCCTAATAAAATGTTGTTCCACAAAGGCAGGTTTGCAGTGCTTCTGCCACACAGTGTTCAGAGGAGGAACAGAGCCAGTGTTTGCTCCCTATTTACCTTCATCCTTATTTCAAAACATACAGAACACAGAAATTCTACAGATATAAGTAGTTTGGGGGTTATTTAAAAATATTTTAAGCAGGGAAATTTTATCTAGCACACTGATGGCAATGGCTTTAAAGGGGGCAATCTTTTTGGCACAGACCAGGTGATGCTGTAGGTACTGCTGGCCAGGAAGAGTGACGACATCTAGTGCTTTAGCACAGCGTTGTTCAGCATGCTCTCAGCAAACCGATGAGGAAGAAGAAAGGAAAAAACCACCCAACAAACCCTTGTACTCCTCTTGAGCATTCCCACTCGTCATCCCTTATGGAATTGTATCGATTTTAGGAAACCTGGGAAATTGGTCAGTACGATAACCAGGCGCCAATGTCTGAGACCACGCGTGCCCGGTGGTGTTTCCACGGGAAAGCGTAAATGCCAAATCTGGTGGTAACTGGCGGGAGGGAACGGGCAAACCTTGCGCGTCTTCATGGAAACGGAAGCACACAGCAATGGCACAACTTGCCAACATTGATTTTCAAACCAGGAGTTCTGCTAAATAATGCCTCAAAATCCATCTCTTGACTTCAGGAGATATCACAGAGCATTACACTCAGGTCCTTTGAGAAGACTGGTTGAATGTAAAGCTGATAGCAGTTACCGATGTAATTTCACTCACAGAGATTACACTTCTAAACCAACTCTAATTGAAATACTTACATTTCAGGGGCATAAAAAACAACAAGCATTTTGATCAACCAAAACATGATTGGTCTAAATCAACTTTTCTCTTAGCGTTTTGACTTTTTCCGTTGTATTCCATAACATTTCCTCTCTAGGTCCTATCTGACTTAGCTTACAACCACTCAGGCCTGCTCACTGGATTGGATATCAGTGGAGATAAAATACACTTCTATATTTCCATGAAATTAGAGAAAACAAGGGAGAGATGATTCCCTGTCCTGTCTATAACATTCATTTCTCAAGCAAGAGCAACAAATTCTGCGTGTTTTGAATTACTTATGATTTTTTAATGTGTTTATATTACAGCATGGACCCCACAACGTAGGTAGATCTAGGTATCCAGTGGACAGGACAAGAGCCTAAGGTCATGCCGCTATATACGTGCCTTCAACAGCACATCTTGCAACTAGTTTATGCCTAGCTGATACAAAATATATAATTCATTCCT